GTGTCTCGAGTTATACCCTTAAAATACGTCGTTCTCGCCTTTTGCTGACGGCTTTCCATAGGACGAAATATTTGGGGTGGTCCATAATGATGTCCTGCATTTGACAGTCTACATCATTGAAGAGTTCATCTGGTGACCATTGGCGTTAATGCCACTATTCTAACTTTCGACTTCAAGGATCCGGAACCGGACCGAAATAAAATCAGAAAGGCGGTTAACAAAACCTGCAAAAATCAACTCATGCTTGAGGATGGTAGCTGGCTCTATTAATTTGTCCGAATGGAAGAGATTAATTATGAAAAGCAGCAAAAAACGGGATGGAAAAAAGGAAAATATCATAAATTGTATCGCAAAACAAGATAAAAATTATAAATCAGGGAGTTTGTGGCTGGACTAAGCGGTGATCTCCAGCTTTAAATTCGATAGACTGGATCACCAATTGTTAGGGAATCACCTTTTCCGTGCAGATGCATCCCTGGTAGTTCTACCCCGTAAGATTTAGTAGACTAGCGACATTCTTTACGCGGCTAAACGAATGTTCGATACTACTATGCGATCTCAACAGTCCATGTTAACATAATAGCAAGCAGAAACAGGACCCAGCTTATATATGCAGCTGAGCGGAGGTTTGAGCGAAGTAAAACCAAAGAAGTGAAATGAAATAGAAAGCAGTATCACGGTTAGAGTCAAAGTTGATTACGAAGAAAACACGTGCAGAAAAATGCATTCGTGCAATGCTACTTTACTTCATGCAATCATCGCCACTACAGATTCACTTATGGGTTCGCTAGCACCGTGCGTGAGAGTACGGCATTTGGCTTGTTGGGTTACTTCGAAATTGGTCGGCTGTACAGGTTTCAATGATAAGTTCGTCAAAGATACAAGGTCAAAGTACAGTTTTATTATGAAAAATACAAGCAGTTGCTTTCTTTGCACCACAGGGTTTATTGTACAAATGGATCGATTTACCGATTAAGGAGAGATGAAAAATGCCATACATTTTCATTATTTTCTGTATTGTCACGGATATCTAAATTTACTACGTAGCAATGATCGCCTAATTTGTGCTTGAAAGACTCGATTGTGCAAGAAAAAACAACGTGAGGTGCTAGAGTATTTCAACTAATGCACACCCCGAGGAAAAGAGATGGAACCAGTATTTTATTCAACAGATTTTGAGCACTAATATGAGTGAATGCCCCCTGAATGGAATGTTTGGTGACAAGGTAAACAATGAACGACATGGATGGTCAAAGTTTGGCATTATTCAAAACACCAAGATCAAGTATCCCCTAATTCGGTAATACCAGCTGGATTACCACCCTATCCATTTCTTTATTTATAGCAATAATTAAAGTAACTTCTCTATCTGTATTTATGCTAAGTGCCTGAGAACACCCCGAATTCTAGGATCTCTGTTGTGCATATGATCGTGCTTCGTTTAAGGTATATTTATTATTATTTTATTACTATTATCATTATTATTAATAATAATATTATTAGCATTGTTATTATTATTGATTTCAATCATTCCACGTAGGTTTTGGAATACAGTCCAATGAACAGCGTGATATCTATTACTTGTGGACGTTCCAAAATCTTTCGATCACGTTGCAGATATGGATTCGAAGCTTGAACGGCCTACTCTATGTATGATCGATTGGGGGCTGATAAAAAAACGTCTGAACAGTCTAGGTTCAAAATGCCAAAGACTGCCTTTAGCAACCAAGATGCCTCGTAACTGTGGACGATGCCCGAGAGCAGCTTATAAAACAACATAGGTCGCCTTGAACGATGACACGAGACCCTTCCTGTGGTGACTCTGCTTTGTCACTCGTGTTTTAAGTTACGTTTTTGTTTTACTGAACATTGAAGCACGTTACTTCCACACACTTCCACCTTGATCATTCAGAGCACCGTGCAGCGCCATGGTATTCTTAGTTCAAATACAGTGTTTAGTTTAGGTCTCACATTCTGCCTTCTATTTCATTAACGTGGACTGTTGAGATAGACTGATCGTATTGGGTAATCGTTGCGACTCGTGGGGAGTGTCGTGGGTTCACCGAATCATTGGGACGAAACAATCAGGGCCGCACGTGAAAGGAGCTGGTGCTACCCTAACATTCTCATTCAAGATATTGATATCCCAGGAAGTAAGGGAAACAAGTTTTGCCTCGGAAATGCAAGACCATGCATGTTGATGCATCAAAATAGATCGGAATTTAGATCGACCATTGGTAAGCAGTATCCTCTTACATGTCATTCAGTTTTCGGGTTTTGTCACTGTTTTCCATAGGTCTTCATCGGGAAAAACATGTTAATGTTGATAGTTCCGGAAATACTGTTAGATAGTTTAGGAAAACTAGGAAACGTTAGTCCTTGTGGAACTCCTCGTGCAACGCTGTTGGGCTCAGGCGGCGACCTAGAAAGCCGAACTGCCATTGTGTTTTGTCGAAGAAATTTTTTCATCCAACCCAATACAAGTCCCCGAATTCCATAATTGTGTAGTTTCCTCAGCAGTATTTTGTGGTTTACTCGGTGAAATGCCTTGGAATATTAGACGGAGTTGACTGCTTGTGCCCCATGATAACATTCTGCAATTATAAATTGTCTACTCATTAGTAGCTTATAATAACACATCTTCGATATCCTGAATGAAAGGCATGTTATCAATATAAAAATGCTGATAATAACAACAACAATATTTAAAAAAATGATAAATTGACAAGATGATAATAATGTAAATGTTACCGAAGACGAAGAGTAAATGTTGAATGATGATAACTCTGTACTATATGCTCCGTAATCGTTGAAATGTAATGTGGAAATGTCTTAAAAGATATTAAAACATCACCCATGATGGATCTCGTCCAAACGGCCCCAAAAATGTTCCTAAAAGAATTGATGTGCCTCTTAAGAAGCAGTCCACGATTTAGCATGTATTCAATTCGGTTGAGTATTTTGTGCAGGTTCTAACGGCCAGTAATACTGTCAAGTGCTCAAAATCGACTTTGAATAAAACCCAGGAAAAAGGTAAACATTATTTACTGTGCCAGGAAAAATAAAATTAATTTTTAAAAAGGCTGCATGTGAGCCAAAGTAGCCTTAAGTTGAACTTCAGGGAAAAGTACAACCGGTCAACGCCCGCCAATTCGAGGTTTGCTGCTGTAATGTGCAGTCGTAGCGCGGCGTTTTTGATTTGATAGTGAGTCGTGTGCATGTATCATTGAACCCTTGGTTCATGTTGATTTGTTTTCTGTACATTGCAGATTGATCGTAGAGGCCCTCTGGAATACCACGAGCACTGTTATTCCGTGATTTCGAGGAGAGCACAGGAGATTGGTCGTGTTAGCATTCGTGTGTAGAGTGCCCGGCCTTGGCAATAGATCACGAGTATTCGTGTACCTCGCGGGTAACAGGTCATAAGCCAAATAACACCGCAAGCCANAAGTGCCGTTGCGCAGTACAATCTTTCCACTGCATCATCATGACCAAATGCTTTTGTTAACTCTTCACGGACCATAATCCGGTTATTGGCACAGGATAATCTGCGACGAAACCCATGTTTCACCTAGAATAATGCGCTGTATTTTTACAAGTGACTCACATCCTTGTCCGCAACAATGGATTTCATGACCTCGTATAATACCGGGACGAAAACGACGGGGCAGTAGTTAACTCCAAAAGCCACCATTTTATATTGATGAAATTGTTCCTTGTTTCCACTGGAGTAGTTCACTTAATGTCTGAGATATGCATATCTAGCATAAGTAACGTTCTACGTGCCAGGCGGATATTGGCTTGCAGATGACTGTTATCTATCCCTGGGGAGGAAGTTCTTTTCTCCAACCAAACAGTTTGCATGTTCGGATCATTTGTAATTGGCATTTGATGTGGTTTGTCCTTCAATAACAGAGGCAACTGTAGTCCGGTGTTGGCAGCTGCAGTGAAAACTTGAGCGTGCAGACTTGTAACATCATACAGCTTTTTTATCTACTTTTATATGACATTATTGTCTTAATACGCATAATATGTAATAACACAATACAAAACTGTATTCGTGACTACGCACGTGTTCTCCCAGTGTTACTGAAGCATTACGCATACAGCATCATTTATCGTCAAGCGATCCGTTAACTGCAACAGTTTCACCGCGCACAATCATCCAAGATCAAAGTAGTTGTATTTGATTTGTGATCAACACTAGTGTCAAACCGAGCGTAATCCCTCACAGGGCACACCACCACCTTCAACCAAACCGCTGTCACCCCACAAGCAGCCAACGGTAGTCGAATTCACACCTACGACCGTCGCTCCATCACCGTCGATCTTGATTCAAGAGGACAAATCAAGCGAATTTTCACCAGCGCTAATGTCCACACTGCTATCATTGATGTTGTCTGGTTTCGTTATTGATGTCGAGCAGCAAGAACTACTCTGCACCTCCACTTCGTATTCCGTCAGTGCCCGGGCAACGCGCATTTGTTCTATGGGATTCCGTCTACCCGAACCCGACATTCCTCGTGAGTTTCCAGATTTAACACAGCCCTCCTATGAACTTGCGAGTGTTACTCACGAGGTGACCCACACCATCATCGCTAAGAGTCAACCCGTCACCGCCAAACCTCGCCGACTCACACCTAAGAAATTGGCCATGGTGCGTGTAGAGTTCGACCACATGCTCCAGCTTGGTATCATTCGTCCATCCAACTCCCCTTGGTCGTCCGCACTGCATATGGCACCCAAGAAAACCCCTGGAGATTGGCGTCCTTATGGTGACTACAGAGCACTTGACAATTCCACCACACCCGAAAGTTATCCCATTCCACATATACGTGACTTTGCACTCACCCTGCATTCCAAACAATTTTTTTCTAAAATCGACCNATTCCACACATCCATGACTTCGCAATTACCCTTCACTCAAAACAAATTTTTCTAAAATCGACGTTGTGAGTGCATACTATCACATTCCAGTGGCTGAATCAAACATTCCCAAAATAGCAATCACAACCGCATTTGGTATGTTCGAATTTTTACGAATGCCTTTTGGTTAACGCAGTGCTGTACAGTTCTTCCGTTTATTTGGATAAAATTTTAATGGCTAGCACTTCATCCGAAGAGCACAGTCCTCACTTAAGCATTCTATTTT